GCCCCTGGTTTCTCTTCTAAAAAACCCTGACAGCTTCAAGACAGCAAGATGGAGACATGGGACTGATACTTTGGGAAGACCGAATCAACTGCATTTCTTAACATTCTATCATTCCTCTGTACCTCTGAAACAAATAATACATTGTATGTTAAAAAAAAAAGAAGAAGAAGAAGAAGAAGAAGAAGAAGATAGCAGGAGGGGAAGAATGAAGGGGGGGAAATCGGAGGGGGAGACGAACCATGAGAGACTATGGACTCTGAAAAACAAACTGAGGGTTCTAGAGGGGAGGGGGGTGGGACGATGGGTTAGTCTGGTGATGGGTATTAAAGAGGGCATTCGGGCGCCTGGGTGGCTCAGATGGTTAAGCGTCTGCCTTTGGCTCAGGTCATGATCCCAGGGTCCTGGGATCGAGTCCCGCATCAGGCTCCCTGCTCAGCAGGGAGCCTGCTTCTCCCTCTGCCTCTCTCTCTCTCTGTCTCTTATGAATAAATAAATAAAATCTTAAAAAGAAAGAAAAATAAAGAGGGCACATTCTGCATGGAGCACTGGGTGTTATACACAAACAATGAATCATGGAACACTACATCAAAAACTAATGATGTAATGTATGGTGATTAACATAATAATAAAAAAATGTTTTAAAAAAATTCTGTAATTCCAAATTTCAATGTCTAATTCCAGTACTCTAACTTCACAGACAGGACAGACCCCCCAAAATCCAGCATAAATTCACACAATTCATCTTTGGGCACATAATACGGTTATATGGAGTTTCCCCGGCCAGTATTATTTGAGGAGTGTAACAGAAATCTGGAATGTAAGTAACCCCCCCGACAAAAAAAGTGAGCCAAACATACTGTATACAATTTCAAATTGTAAAATTTTGTATAAGATTTTTTTGCTTTTCGGGTCCTCAAAATATTTTAGGTTTCACAACTACATACAGGTAAGACCATTCTAACCATCAAGTATAGGCGTATCTCAGATATTAAGGGTTCAGTGCCAGACCACCACAATAAAGTCAGTATAATAACAAAGCAAGTCAAACGAGTTTTTTGGTTTCCCAGTGTCCATGAAGTTATATTTACACTATATTGTTCTATTAAGTGTGCAACAGCATTGTGTCTAAAACAATAATTTATATATACCTTAATTAAAAATACTTCATTCCTAAAAAGGCTAACCATCATCTGAGCTTTCAGCAAGTCATAACCTTTTTGCTGGCGGAGGGTCTTGCCTCGATGCAATGGCTGCACAGGAGACTGCTCAGAGTGGTGGGTGCTGAAGGCTGGGGTGGCCGTGGCAATTTCTTACAACAAGACAACAATGAAGTTTGCCGTGTTGATTGACTCTTCCTTTCAAGAACAATTCCTCTGTAGCATGCAATGCTGTCTGATAGCTTTGTAACCACAGTAGAACTGCTTTCACAATTGGAGTTAATCCGCTCAAACTTGCTGCTGCTCTATCAGCTAAGTCTGTGCCATATTCTCAATCCTTTGTTGTCATTTCAACAGTCTTCACAGCATCTTCATCAGGAGTACATTCCATCTCAAGAAACCACTTTTTTTTCTTTTGCTTGTCCATAAGAAGTTAAAGTTTTATCCTGGGATTACAGCGATTCGGCCCCATCTTCAGGCTCCACTTCTAATTCTAGTTCTCCCGCTGTTTCCACCACACCTGCAGTTCTTTCCTGCACTGAAGTCTTGAGCCTTCAATTTGTAAAAAATACAGTTTTGCGAAGCACAATAACAAAAGGTATGCCTTTACTCAATTAATCCTCACAAATGTCCTAGGATGTAGGTCATATTATACCCATGTTATAGATGAGAAGACTAAAAACAGAACAATCAAGTAACTTGTCCAAGGACAGGGTGAGTGGAACAAGAACTCATACACGTTTCCTTTTGCCAGCAATTTTATGTAAGAAGGAAGAGGAGGTTACTGCGGAGCTGACAGACTCATTGGTCATGAGCTCTCACGCGGGGAAGGGAAAGGTTTTAGTAGCACTCAGTGCTTACAGAGGGGATGAGCAAGTAAGCATGGATGCCGAATCACAGGTCTGCGTCCCAGTGCTTGGCTACAGTCACCTAACTGCTTCAGGAGATGGTCACGGAGAAGAAGGAGGATAAAATGTGAGAAACTGCTCTGTAAACTGGAAAACCCATTCCAGGGGCCTTTGGTACATCCTCAGCATCTACCTAAAAAGTCTTCCACACAGGAACTCAAATGTCTGCTGAGTGACTGGCTGAGTAAATCCATGTAAATGAAATTTAAAAGAAAAAAAAAAAAACACCCACACTTTAAGGGCCAGTCAAAAAGCACTCACCATGAAAAGTTTGTTAACTTAGTAATAATGCTTCAGATGCAGTATAGTATTTCCCTTAGTAAGATACTGCATTTTATCCCTCTGCTTCCTCCAAAATAAATCAAGTACTAGGAAACTAAAAATAAACTTAATAATACCAAAGAATGAGCAATTTCCTCTTTGGCCTTGTTTGCACGACTAGTTTAAGGAAAAAAGGAACCTTATTTCCTGCTCAGCTGTGCAGGCATCTGAGGACACTCGAGGCTGGAGGAAGAAAAAAGGTGGAGGGGTATCTGACTTAGAAGAGCAGTGTATTTGCTAAGGACCGTGAACAAGGTGCTTTGAGGAAACAATGTCAAACTTGTGTGGATCTTTCTGTAAATAGGTTTACTTCCAAAATTCCTTTGTGGAGATGTAAGACATCTGTGTTTCTAAACAGGGAGAGAAAACACCCCACAACCTTCACAAGAAAGCTTGCATGAGTGCAGCCAGAAGGATGAGGGGCTCAACTGGTTTAGAGCTGACAAGCTGTGGCCAGAAGCAGGCAGCGAGGGCCCAAAGAAAACGGGGACAAAATTTAGAAAGGAGTGCTCAAAGTATCACTTTAGTATATATTATTCTGCTCCAACAAGGCACCAGGGACAACTACCCCTCTCTCTGTATGCCTAAAGGAAGGCCATTCCATTAGCTACTCAGTTAGCAAAAGCCTTCAAGCCAGCGCTAAGAGCCAGAATGATTCCTGAGAAGGCAGAGAACTACCGAGCAGAGAGAGTCTGAGTGACCCTCGACACCCCTCACTTCTGTTCTCAGGGACACAACTCCCATCACAAGCTCCCCTCAGTGGGGAGCCCGGGGAGTCAGTTCTGTGATGGCACGAGCTTCAATCTCAGCCTCTAGATCTGAATTCAATGTCAGGTCTACTGTCTATGCCCAAATTCAAAACAGAGCTTACAAGCCCAGTGCACACTGCCCCCCGCCCTCCCTGCCCCCCCACCAGTAGCTTACCAGAGTCCATGTCTCAACAGCTCTTGGACACAAAAGAGTTACGTGTACTTATACTTCATCACTGTAAGTTGACCAAAGGAGTCCTACTGTGAATAAAGAATTTCTATGATAATAAAACCTCACTTTCCTCCAAGCATGGTCCCAAACCCAAGCACTCATACCGCATAGGCTCTGCTCTTGGCTCACCCCCACTCCCGAGCTAGATGGTGCCTGTGACAGAGGGCCCCTTTCATGTCACTGTGCCTCAGTTTCCTTCCCTGAGCTTGTGCATGAACCCTGGTCCCCTCACAGGTTATCAGGAGAACTGATGAAATGTCTGCAGAGTGTTCTCATCTGCAAGGATGAAAAGAGCTATAAATACAAAGTCAAAGCAGTATTAGAAAACTTTTTTAAGCTGCAACCGCTTCTTTCTTTTGAAATGGAGAACCACAAGAAAGATCAAAGGAGTGTCACTGCTTGTTGACTGCTGCTCTGGAGGCCCCACCACCTCCTCCCTCCACCTGGCAGAAACCCCAGAGAGAGAGAGGTCTGCCATGATTTCTAACTTCACAAAATCTCAAGACACGTTGTACAATGGTTTCCTGGAACGCCCTGAGTGGAAGACGCAGGGGCAAGCCACACAGCCTGCAGGGCTGGTCATACCCTTCCATGAGCAGGCATGATCAGGAGAAGGCAGCCTTGGTAAGAAGAAATGCAAGGATGTGAGGGAAGTGGCTTCCCCTCGTCTTTCTGCCACAAAGGCCTAGTGCAAGGACTCCGTAAGGCTGTAGCAGCTTGCGTAATAAAACACATAACCTTGGCTCAGTTAACCTCCTGAGCCATAAAAAAGGGGAGAGGGGGGAGCAAAATTAAGCTTACGGGAAATAGACCTAATCAAAGCTGAACAGTAACAAAGGGCACCAGAAACATTTCTACTGTATCACATCCCACGGGCTGGCCAAGAGCCCGGAATTCTCATTACAACTTTTCAAAGAGAGGGAGAGGAGAAAAAATATTTCACAAAACCATTATCAAGGCCCCAACCCGGGATGCCCTGCTGTACAACCAAAATTTGTGAGAGGTCAGCCTGTCAGGGAGTCAAAAACCCAGCATGTGGAAACTGGCAGGCCTTTCATATAGTAGGAGGGGTTCTTAAAACGACTACTGTTTTGCACTGAAGTCTCAGAGCTTCACAGACCATTAAAGGTTTCTGAACCACAGAGAAAGGAGGGCAGAGTTAAGGAAATAAATCAAAAGTTCCTCTGGGATGCACAAATGCCTACTTGGAACAGGCTTTCAGCACGAATATCCTCCACATTAAACAACAAGGAGGACTTTTCAAAATAAAAGCAGAAAAGAGATTCATTTTGTTATAAGCAATGTACTTTCTTTTTGGTTTAAAGGTTATGTGTGCTGTAAAAAGTGACCCCGGCCGTGAGCACTGGGGGGAGGCGGAGGCTGGGCCAAGGGCGGGGGCTGGCAGTGAAAGAAACCAAGTGTAAGGAACAACAATCAAGCAGAGAAATGCTGGATTTGGGAGCACCCAAACAAGTTAAAACGTCTTGTAATAACTGAGGGGCAGGATGTGAGGTAGGGGAATGGCACTAGAAGGGACCTCTATCACATGTACTCCTTTACACCCCTGCCAGAGAACTGAATTAATTTGCCCACAGCCAGGAAGAGCTCTCTTGTTTTTCTTTGCAACACGCACAGCTGAAGGCTTGGGGAACCGGACCGTGTCCTCGAGAATGCAGAGCCTTGCGGTCCGAAGGAGGCACCAGCGGCCTCGACACCAGCACGGGGAGTACAGCATCTGAGAACGGGAAACAGGCACACCTAAGGCTATGTGCTTACGCAAGACGGGGCTTGTGAAGCTCAGTTCCAGACCTTCTGACCTTGCCCATGTGTTCTCCAGCAACGGTAAACAGAATGGAAAGCTAGACGACCTACTCTGGAGGAGACAGTTACAACAACCAGGTGAGGCCTTAGGGACGCAAGGGAACCGCCATACTCCTGTCAGGATACACTTACTACGAAGTGTGCTGCTGGGGTACTCTCCCCACCAACATGGAAGGAGTGGGAGAGGAAAAGCTCAGTGAAAGGCAGAAAATCCAGTCTGGAAAACTGACAGCAAGCACCAGAGCAATGATTTCCCTTAAAATCCACGGCTCCCACTTTAGTCCACGAAGAGCCCATTTCCCCACTTTTTGTTTCCAACGGGGCAGGGGAGGAGAACTCTGTCACTCAGGCTTTGCTTTCAACAGCTGGTTGAAACCAAAGCAGCTGACAAAGACCCATGTCTGCTACATGACTGCTATCTTCATCTTCAGCAACAGTTTACCAAGACATGGAGGAACGGGCTGAGGGATTGCTTTGGTGCCAAGATTATCAGCATGGAAAAGACTCCTGGGGAGGTTCTAGGGTAGGGACTAAAGCTAATGGTCTATCCCATAAGGAACGAGCCGAGCCCCCAATGCTTCACACTTGATTATGCTGTGGTTTGGCGCTAGAAATCTTTGCTCAGGTATACTCCAGGTGTGAAATGGCCTAATTGATGGTTAGTCTGAGTATACACTGCTGTATTAGGTAACGTCTTTTACTAAATCCTAATATTAACGCTTGCTCATTGTGGGAAATGAGAGAGTTGGGTTAAAAATGCTAACCTTAAGATGTGCTAAACTCAACAAAATAAACAAAACCTGTAATGTGACTTTCTGTTATGCCAGGAAGTGTGCACTGAGTTAATGCACGTGCCCGCCTGCCAGGAGAAGGAGAAGGCCAGGGCGAGGGACAGGCGCCACCCTGGCTGCCTGACGCTGCTGGCAGGGCCAAAGGACAACAGTCCAAAGGAGCTCACCTAGAATGCATGGTGTGGGATGCAGAAGCCCAGGCAGGAGTGCCGACTACCCTGACCCGTCTGAAGAGCCTCTGTGAAGGAGGGACATGGCACCAATACTTCTCTGTGTCATCAAGGGACTCAACCAAGACAACACATGAAGATGAAGGGATTCGGATCCTGGTGTAAGGAGGACATCTAAAGTGATGGAACTGTCCCAAACCACCATGGTCCCATTTAATGGGTTCAATGTTACCAGGTTCTCAGGAACAGCAGGGCAGCCACTCTGAAGGCATGCTTTCGAGGGATTTCAGGTATTAGGGAATTCCTCAAGGATACTTCAAAGACTTTCTTTGGCAAGGCATTTATTTAAAACACCTATCCTTCAACCTAACTTCCAGGCCCAGCTACACATTTTTCAAGATGTTCCTTCAAGCCCTCATCTTCAGGTCCTCTGACTCCAACTATCACTTAGTGTCTGTGCCCCATACTTTCATACTTAGGTTCCTGCCAACTCCCACTGTGGTAACCGAATAGCCGGAGAGATCCCCAGGGAGTAGAGTCATATCTCCACCTCTCATCATACTCAATGAGCTCTGCAAGTGCTTGCTGATAGATTAGGATTAGGAATAAAACTATAAATTTTTATATTCACACTACCTAAACATCCTGTCACTGATTTCTAGGAAAATTTTTATAAGAAATGGAAGTATTTATAGACATGCCTGGTAAGGTACTTTAGCATTTGGGCAATCAATAATGAGAACAGAATATAGTACAAAAGAAAACAGTATGCTTTAGTTTCAGTCTGAGACATATATACTGGACAAATGAATGCATATTCCAAGGTGTAAACTTGCACATTTTAATCTAAATACAAAGTGACTGTATAAGAAGCATTCCATGCTTTAACTGTATTATTTATTCTACCTAATCATCTGATAAACCTAATAGAGTCTGTTAGAGAAGCACATGGACTTTTCTCCTGAGTCACCCGATAGGCTGACACGGTCAAAAGAATTAAGAGCTTCAAGTGTGTTTGTTTTTTTAAGATTTTATTTATTCATTTGAGAGAGGCAGAGAGAGACAGAGAGAGAGAGACCGTGAGAGAGCAAGCACGCACGCGCAAGCTGGGGGAGAAGGAGAGGGAGAGGGACGAGCAGACTCAGTGCTGAGCACAGAGCCCAACGTGGGGCTTGATCCCACGACCCTGAGATCATGACCTGAGCCGAAATCAAAAGACAGACGTTTAACCAACTGAGCCACCCAAGCACCCCAAGAGCTTCAAGTTTTTTTCCTTTTTTTAAAAATATTTTATTTATTTGAAAGAGAGCACGCACTTGCGAGAGAGCACAAGCGATGGGGAGGGAGAAGCAGGCTGCCCATAGAGCAAAGAGCCCAGTGCGGGCTCGATCCAGGACCCTGGGATCATGACCTGAGCCGAAGGCAGCCGCTTAACTGACTAAGCCACCCAGGCGCCCCGAGCTTCAAGTTTTGATAAGCAAATTCAATCCACAGGACAAAGCAAATTTAAAAATTTCTTTTTCAAAGTTTTGTTTTGCTTTCTATTCCACCTTCTCCAGAATGTCTACAGGGTTTGCCCACTTCACTTGCTGCCTGCTTTACTTTGCTGAAGCTGGCATGTATACAGACTCACTGGGCCTGTCTCCTTCAGAATTTAATTATTCCTCCTGTTGTTCCACACATTCCAGATTCTCCCTCCAAAGCTTACACACTTCCCTTGACAACTGAAAGCTACAAACCTCTGACCTGCTTCCATGTACTTCATTAGCACATTTCCAAAACAGCATCTTTGGAAAGGAGAACCAAGTTCTGATCGTAGGAGGCGTGTGCCTAAATCAATAATCACTAAGTCCTAAGGGGGTTGGACCTATGCTGTTCCAGCCCTCTAAAATAATCAAATACGTGAAAGTTACCATTTCTTGCCAAACTTAAGAAAAATCCGAACTCCTGCACATGAGGACAAAGAGAGAATGGCTGCAGCTGAAAATACATAACCGAAGCATCACATGAAAAACTTTAACTTGGTATCGTTCAGAACATATCAGTGGGATTTCACTCATACAGCAAAGACACAGGAGAAGAATTCCAGACTGTTTTCAAGATAATAAAATGGCATATGACGGTGACTCACTAACTGACTAAAAGGGGAAAAAAAATCCATAAACAGTCACAAGAACCTTGCAAAGCTGCAGAGATCTGGCAACCCTGAACCTCTTTTACCTCGCTTGGCTCTCACCTCCAGTACACGCAAAACACACACACACACACACACACACACACGATCGTTTTGAAGCCAAGCTGCAATTGGCTAATGGCTTGCTCTACTGCTTAAGACAGTATTTTATTCTTGACTTGCTCAATAAACCTGCTGAGAAAAATAAACAATGGGTTTCAATCTTATAAATAATCTAGAAAACAGAATTGCTGTGCAAACAGCAGAGTTGATTTACTGCCCATGATAAGCAGGAACAGGAAAGTCCAAACGTGGCACAGTGACCACCCCCCCCCTCCGTCCTAGTCTTACTGTCCTGAGACAGGAAAGTTGAACAAGGATTTTCTGTCCATTACACAGTCCAAGGCCTAGGATGTGCAGGTTTCAATTGGTCTTTAAAACAGCATCAAAGCAGATAATGAAAAACAACATGAAGAACAAAAAATGAGGAAAACCTTTTCTTATAAACACTGAGAAGTTTTAATCTTTTAGGACCAATAATTATAATATATCTATCTATGGTTACAGTGTATTCCTACCCCATCATTCACAAAATATGTGAACATACAGGGCCACACACCTCATTTTTAACAAATACCAAGTAAGGGTCTGTTTTGGGCACTAAAGGAGACATAAAGAGGTATTACAAAGAGGTCCCTGCCCAGAAGGCCTTATATTCTATATAAATACATACATGCATGTATGTGTGCAGAACAGAAATGCATGGAAGACAAAAGGAAGCTGCATCCACAGTCCAGAACTAAAGCAAATAAAGAATAATTTTTCAAGGGCAGAACAAAATGCAATTTTTCTGAGAGAGAAGCTGGGCAATTTGTGTCATTTCCACCAGTGCACAGAGAGAGGGCTTGTGTGGCTCTCACGAGTGTGCAGCCCAAGCCCTGTAACTGGGCCCTGGACAGTCTCAGTGACTGTCACTCAGGCACCTTCCAGAGAAGAACACAAGCCTTGCTGGCCTCTTTAGCAGACTGTGGACTCCACAAGGGTAAGTACCCTCTCACCCACCACAGACACCTCAAAGAGAACACAGGCCTTGGGTACTAAAGGTTCCCCAAAACAGCTCCCAATTTTGCCAACAGAGAACCATGATGACGGTTTAAACATGTCCAAGGCCAAATCCTGGAAGTTATGACACCACAATTTAGAGATTTCAGAAGGACTTAAGATACGTGAACAGAACAAAGAATCATAAAATCAAAAAATAATGAAGGTCATTAATATTGAAATTCAATTTAAAATGTAAACATCTCAAAAAGAAAACTTAGCTTAATGGAATTCTGGCTTCCCAAGACAGGTTTCTCCTGCTTGCTTTTCCTATTTCTATGATACAATTAATGGTTTTCAAATTACATGCAACAGAAAAAAAAGAAACCTTATGATGGGGGGGCAGGGTGGGGGCTCCACCTGGGGAGCAGCCGTGAGTAAGACTGGAGGTGAAGGCCTCGCTTTACTTTTCAAAACAATAGAAGTAATTTTTACTCTACTTTCCTAAGTATTACTCAAAGGCATAACTTCAAATAAGATTAAAATGAACTAATTACTCAAGAATTAGGACTTCAGATACATTTTAAAACTTACTCTTAAAACAACAGCAAACTGAATTTTCAAAGTTAGGATGGGTTCGCCGAGCTTATGAAGGCTAAAAAAAAATCTATGATATAAGATGTGAGCTCCAAGTGGATAAACACATTGAATATAAGCACAGTAATCACAGCTTCTAATT